ATGCCAGCGTAACAGATGGTGTTTGACTACCCACAGCCAACAGACCATTTATGTGCATAAGATACATTTGTTGATAACTGTGGACTCAGCCAAGAATATTTACTGTCTTGGCCATGCTAAGCTCACCTATAGTCTTTGGAATACGATAAGTCACGTACAATGCTTAGTTAAATTGCCTGTAACTATTCATTTTCAAATTAATTTAATTGGACAATTTTGAAAAATGTGTGATACATAACAATAAAGTATAATAACAATAAAATTAAACATAAAAGTAATAATGATAATTTAAAAATGATAATAAGGAAAAAAAACAAAATAAACTATTCCTTTTACAATTAAGTATTATGGTATTTTTTTTTAATAAAGAAACTGTCACTCCAAGGATATTTGCAGAATAGCACCGTTTAAGCACCAGAATCACTTAATCGTTGAAAAGTGATTTGGGGGTATAGATGCTCCCCTGTAGCCTTGCAGATGAAAATAGTCATGTTTCTGAGAAATAGAAAGGTTTACCCTTTGCAGTTTCTATACGTGCCAGCAGGTATCAGACACTAGGGGCTCCAGACTGGAAAAGTTGCAATTATTGAATCATTTTGACGTCTGGCGTCAGTATGTAAAGTATGATGACACTGGATTCCATGCCTCTCACAGAGAAGCACCAGGTTAGTGGACCACAGTGTATGCACTGTGTGTTCTCAATGTCTCAATGTCTGTCTATGAGAAGCATCTAAAAACGTCACCTGAGGAAGATCTGACTGCAGTGATGAGGAAATTGATCTAGGAAAGCTTTATGGCAATTGTAATGATTATTTGGAGAAAAAAAAGTGTTCTAATGTTCTAAAAAAAATGGAGCACATCTAAATGATAATTTTAAAAAACAAAAACATATTATGGGTATAATTAGAATGTTCCTTTAGCCCCATGGCCATAGGCGTGAGCAGCCTATTGCATAAGGGTCTGCACCCTAAAACACAAACACACACGCCACACATATATATATATATATACTGCTGTGTGTGTGTGTAAGGGTGTGGGTGCTGGGTGTGTGTACTGGTGCTGTGTGTGTGAGGGTACTGTATGTGTGTAAGGGTGCAGTGTGTGTGAGAGTGCTGTGTGTGTGTGTTTGTGAAAGATGTGTGTGTGTAAGGGTGCTGTGTGTGTGAGAGAGTGCTGTTAGTGTGTGTGTATGTGTGCTGTGTGTGTGTGTGTGTGTGTGTGTGGGTGCTGTGTGTGAGGGGGGTTGCTGTTAGTGTGTGCTGTGTGTGTAAGAGTGCTGTGTGTGTGTATGTGTGTGTGTGCTGTGTGTGTGTGTGTGTGTGTGTATGTGTGAGGGTGCTGTGTGTGTAAGGGTGCTGTGCGTGTGGGTGCTGTTAGTGTTAATGTATGTGTAAGGGTGCTGTGTGTGTAATGGTGCAGTATGTGTGAGAGTGCTGTTAGTGTTAGGGTGCTGTTAGTGTGTGTGCTGTGTGTGTATGTGTAAGGGTGCTGTGTGTGTAAGGGTGATGTATGTGCGTGGGTGCTGTGTGTGTAAGGGTGATGTATGTGTGTGGGTGCTGTGTGTGTGAGGGTGTTGTTTGTGTGTATTTGTTTGGAGGGACTGTGGGGGTGGGGGCACAGTTTAGGACATAGTAAGGTAGCAGGAAATCCTATAAATAAGATTATAGGGAGAATGAAAAATAGGAGAACCTATAGATAGGCAATGTAGATGGAGAATAAAATGGACCAAGAGGAGAATAAAAGGGGAACACCAACTGAGATAAGCAGCAGGGAGGAGGTGGAAACAGAGAAAGAAACACTAAATGAGTGTTTAGAAAGATAGGATGAAAACCAGGAAAGCACAGTGTCATGGAATCAAAGGTTGTGGAGGGTTGGAAGAAGAGGAGAATGTAATGAAGCTACATATAAAATTGATCGATGAAGAATAGAGGAGAGCCAGGATGGTGCTAGAGAGGACTAAAGAGACTGATGGAGTTGGCAACAAAAATGCAATCCTGGCTATTTCCCGGACCAATGAGTAATCCTTAATCCTGAAAGTTAATGGAGGCATTTCCTAAAGGCAAACTAAGATTTACATTTCTCTACACGTGTTGTAATCTCATTTAGTTTTTCATATATTTAGAAACACGATATATTTATGTGTTTTGCATTGTGAGTATGTTATTCATAAATTCATTTTATTCTACAGATACATTATGCTTTAGATACTACTATGTCTGATAACATATCCCTATTTTTTTAATTGCTCTGCATAAGAGCATTAAATTTCAGAACTGATTAATTAACTCAGAATTTGGTGGATACGGATTATACAGGAGTATTGTAATTGTAAACATCCCTAGGTACATATTTCAATAGCTTTAGGACTTCTTGTCTTTTTTTTTTTCTTTGTATTGCTTTTTTATAAATATATTTATACACTTTATGGAGGACTCAGTATTTTCTCTCTTCAAGTTAAACACATCCATGTTATGTTAAAGGGACATGAATCTTTTGGCGTAAAAGCTTCCCAGCAAAGAATGGTTTATTCACTGCCTAAATTGGTTGTGAGCACATGGCCTGCTTTGATGAAAAACAGACACACACATGACATGAGGGCAACTAGGTTATGTCTGATTTACCATCTGAATTCAAGGATTAGAATTTTTAAGCCCCTCACTGATAAATGATGTACTAACTTAAACTTATAAAAGTACAACTGTGTGCAATTTTAGCAAAATAAATGGTACTATTCTCCAGCAATTATTATTAAAGCTTAGTGTTTTTAAATGGAATATGCAATCCAGGTTGTTAATGCAAGGACTATTTTATAAATAATTATTTGCTTATTACAGGTATAGTGGAATAAATGTAACAGCATAGAATTCGACAATCAGATGGTATATTTTGCAGACAGTAATAATTGCAGTTAAAGCTAAGGAATATATATCTAGTGTTAATTATAATATGAAATGTGTTGAGGTTTTCAGTGTTATATGGAAGATATCACCAAAATTAATTTATATACTTTTTTCCGATTGGGCTTGTTGTGATGTAAAGTTATATTTTGGGGATTATCCACAAAAGTGCAATTTAGGATCTACTGGTTACCAACTTGTTTAAAGTTGCATCATGTTGAGTCAACTCTCTGCCTCACTCTGCAGATTTTAATTTAATTTCACATTTGCCTACTTCTTCTTATTATACATTCCAAACCCGCCCCAAGGATCTAACCAATCAGTGGACTATCCCTAGGAATGCTGACAATGTGTATTGGGCATGCCTGACAGATTTGGGAAAATCTCTTTACCTTGCAGCATTCTCACAGGGTGTGAAGAGATGGAGTCTGGTCAGTGTGATCACTCTGACATACACTCCCAGATACACATAGACATACACACACATACACGCGCACACACACACACACACACAAACTCAACAGATACATAAATATTCCAAGAAATAAACATAAAAAGACATTCCCAGGAACAGAACACTAGGTCTCTCATCAGACAGGGCTCCATTAGGTCTACCACTGGCTGTGAGAGGGCCCTCCACAGCCCTGTACCCACTCACTACCTGGAGGGAGCCATGTTGTCTGCACATTTATTGGGTGCAGATAATTTAAAAAGCTCCCTTTTGGTCCACTCCATTGGCACTTCCTAGAGCATTGCAGCCAGTGGACAATCTTAATCCTGGGGCCCCGGACAATTTACATCTGGTTCTGCAAACACATCTTTAGTAACATGCTGACAGACTCACAATCACACAATTACACTGACAGACATACCCATACAATTACACACTAACAGACACACTGCCATACATGCATGTTAAATTATATATAGTGTGCAGTGCATATTATTTTAGTCAGCATTCTTTTTGCCTGATGTTTGGGTGCAAGAAGGTGGTATCCCTGGGATCCAGGGAAGTAGGCCTGAAAACATTGGCAGTACAACTTAAACTCTCATTGAGCATCTGGAGTACTGGGAAGCAGTGATATGATATCACATCTTCCCATCACGTGAGTGCAAAGGGAAATATCAATAATGTCAAGTAAGGGGCCCCCTGCAGGGCAGATCTTCAGTACATTTCGGTTGGGGGAAATATTTATACCTCCCCAGCCAGATAGCAGCGTTATGTACTATCCAGGTTTGCTCTATCATTGAGTGTGACCAGCTCATTGGCTATAGCCCCCATTGAATCCTTCTGGTGACATATTATTTTTCATATTATCAATGCGTCTTTCATAAGCTTTAAAAAAGTGTGGGTAATCCCAACCGTTAAAGACAGTAAGATTTTATAGTGCTGCATACTTAGCAAATTATATTGTTTGCTCTCATTAGAAACTAGTTTTTAGAACTCCAGATTTTATTCCAAAGAAACATAGAAACATAGAATGTGACGGCAGATAAGAACCATTCGGCCCATCTAGTCTGCCCACTTTTCTAAATACTTTCATTAGTCCCTGGCCTTATCTTATATCTAGGATAGCCTTATACCTAGCCCACGCATGCTTAAACTCCTTCACTGTGTTAACCTCTACCACTTCAGCTGGAAGGCTATTGCATGCATCCACTACCCTCTCAGTAAAGTAATACTTCCAGATATGATTTTTAAACCTTTGTCCCTCTAATTTAAGACTATGTCCTCTTGTTGTGGTAGTTTTTCTTCTTTTAAATATAGTCTCCTCCTTCACTGTGTTGATTCCCTTTATGTATTTAAATGTTTCTATCATATCCCCCCTGTCTCGCCTTTCCTCCAAGCTGTACATGTTAAGCTCATTTAACGTCTCCTTGTCAAAAGGCTGCTAGTTTGTTCTAAATCACTAATTCACACACCACAGCTTACTGTTTAGTAAATAATCCCCATCACATGGATGAGTTCTAGCCAGTTTAAATAATCCAGCACAATATAAGTGTGAAGAGATGTGAAGAAATTACTTTTTAGAAGATCGTGCAGATAAAACAAAGATTTATATGTAAAAAATAACTGTCTGGAATAAAAGTCAAGCTGACAAATTATTCAATACGTGTAACTCTTTTATTCCACATACTTGGCTGGGTTTTACACAAAGTTAGTCAATAAAGACACAAAAATACATTGCAAAACCAATGTGATAAAGTGCAGACTTCTATAGCTGAGAAAGTCCAGAGCTAACAAGGTCTGGTGTTATATCTAAAATCTCAGCAAAACGAGACATTTCCACTATCACACAGCAAATATGTTGTAAAGTATACATGGGTTAAAACCGTTAAGCAGGTTTAAATCCTGGTTAAATCTTTGAATGTATAAACATACATTATTTGGAAATAGAAAAGCATAGGGCTATGTACATGCATTAAAAGACCATTAACTCAGATATGTGAGATACAAAATGCTTAACGTTATTCTCAAGTCAACATCATCTAACAGATTAGTATTTCATTTACTAAACACCAAAAAATAAAATGGGTTCACATTTTTCACGTTATACTTTCTAGGTTCAATGTCCTACCATCTACCAAGTGTTAGGACAAATGGTCTGATTCAGTCTACACCACTGTGGGCCAAAATAAACATTCTTAAGCCTTGAGAAATTCATTAATAGTGTGTAGCAATAATAGCTATAAATAGTCAAATAGCCTCTGCTACTGCGGTTAATAGTTTATGGTTCATTTATACGTTTGTTTCCATTTGGGTGTCAGCAGTGGGGGAATGACAGTTTTTGTGAAATTTATATTGCTTATTGGCTTACATTTATTATATTATTTCCTGTTAGAGGGTATAGATTTACAGGTCTTTGCACCATACCTTCACTGTCTCTACCAGAAAACCACTGGTTGTTTCTGTTTAATGGTTTTTAGCGCAAGTTGTTTTCTTTTGTTTTCTTGTTTGTTTGGTCAGCTAGCCTATAGAAGGATTCTCTATACTGTTATGGAATTTCTATAATAGTTATGTTTATTTCCATTATAAATCGCACATTGACCTCTCCGAACCTTGAATGGTGTCTGTATGTTAATTTTTGCAGTTCGTCAGCTTTAGAATTTGTGGCTTCCGTTATCTTTTATCCGCAAAGTTGGTGAGTTTTAAAATGAGATATGCTTAAAATAAATTGTTTGGTTATAACCATAATGGGATATGCTGGCAACATTTAGTTGTAACTATTTATTGCAGTTTGTATATATGATTTTCAGTTATTTCAAAGTTTTATTTAATATATCATGGCACAGTGCACAAAGTATCACCATATTTTTGATAGCATGCCTGTAGGGTAGACACATTCTGTACTGACTGCCCTGAAAAGTCCGTCTGTGTAATCATATCTGTCATGGCTGCTTGTCATCCCCTTTACCTGTTCTCCAGTTCCTCTGTGGTATCAGGTCATGCAGACACAAGTCACACTGAATGGAGCTGAGCAACTGCATAGAGACACCAGCACCAATCCAGTTTCAGGAACTGCATGCAAGCAACAATATTTTACCTGAGCGTCCATTGTGCCATTGACCTGGCCCAGCCTATAAAACCCCTGATTACACTCTATCTATTGCTTTACTAAACTTTAGTGTCTTGCGGGCGCCTGTCTCCCTGTCAGACGTGGCGACGGAGCTCTGTTCTCTCTGCTCTGCTCCGGCTCACCGCTTGCCGTTTGCTGATGCCGATAGCCGGAATATGAGGCCCCTGTGCACCTACAGACTGGTCCCTTAAGCACATCAACTTGTGTATATGGTTTACAGGATGGTAGAGTGTTCCTGCAGGTTTATAAAAGTGTAAATTACAAGAGCAATCATCACTTTTCTCATCCCTGTTGGTATAAAACCTCCCAACTGTTAAGCAACCAGCCTGGAGGGTTCTCCCTGGCTCAGTTCCCTTTAGCACATTCTCAAGACAGAATTGATGGTTTCTCATAAAGATACATTGGTTTCAAGGCTTCTATACGAAAAGCAATGTCAGTCCAGTTTGGCAAATGACGTGCATGCACTCTGCCTCCTTATGTTTCTCTGTAGGAAGCACTGGATTGACCAGAAGATCATCACTAGTGAAGATCTTCATTGGATGGAAAAGAGTCAAGGCGAGGGACCCTCTTCACACCCTCTTTAATTACAGGTAAGTAACAGCTTTCTTAGTGCTTCGGGGAGTGGAGCACAAATTCTAAACAGTCGCGTATTATAAGTAAAGGTATTGGAATGTTTCGTTAATATTTTTTAATACAAATGGGAAAAAATTAGATCTTGATCGGAGCTATTTCAAGACCAACATAGTATTGCTTTATTTCTGGATGTTTAAAAAAAATCTATTTTTTTTTTTTTTTGGAATGGACATGCCTCACGGATCTTACAGTTCCTTGAGAGAATGCCAATTATTTTATAATCTGTGTGAACTATCACCCCTGATCATTTCTAACCATGAGTTATCCATTACTTTTATTATTTGATTCTAAAGCCAGAAAGATATTGCCTTTTCTTGATTATGCCCTGTCTGACCCAATATACTTATTGTTTTGTTTTAATAAGCCATGGCAAACACATTACTTGTTCTACATTAGCAGTTTTAGATTTGGAACATTGCAACAATGTCTGTTTCGAAATCTCATTAAATATTTTCTTCAAGAAAGGAATATTTTTTAAGGCTTAAGAGGAATTATTAATTTATCTTTTTTATTTTATTTACCCAACCGTTCCCAATTGTTGAATGGTAACAGCCTCTTTCACACCCCAACATCTGGGAGACCTTCTATATCTGCCCCTTCCAACGACGTTACTTCCGACTTATTAATATTAGCACCTTTATAGTGCCAATATATTCTGCAGATTATTTTTTTTATGGACGGCACATAGAAAATAACTTGTATAAGAAGGCCAGTATCAAGCGCACTACTCTTTATATCCCACACAGAAAGTGAGGCCTGGGCCTACCGAACTTCTGGAGTTACCACCAGGCGGCCCAACTAGCACAACTGCAACACCTCCATGCCCCAGTGGGCCCCAGTGGGCCCCAGTGGGACTCAAACTATGGGTTGACCTGGAACATAACATACTTCGAGGACAACGGCCTCACGAAGTTCTTTCACTTCTACCGAAACCAGCAGCTGGTCCCCTTTGCCGAACTCCCGCAGAACACACCGCTCATAACATTTGATCACTTCTGATACTTTCAAATTTGCAGCTATCTCAACACACCAACCACTAGAACGACCGCAACAGCCACACTCACCACATTCGAAAAAAATGTGTATACAGGCACCCATACAAAAAGGCCAAATCTTAACAATATATAACCTGCTGGTATAAAACACACCCAGGGGCCTTCTCTTACATGTCGACTTGGGAGTGGTACCTGGGCCCCCGGGGACTCCACGGACTGGGGGGACATCTGGGAGGCCACGGCTTCGCTCACCATATGTGGCAATCATAGGGAACAGGCCTATAAAACCATGTTCCAATGGTACCTCACCCCACTAAGACTCAAACAAATGCACAGGTCGGACACCGACCAATGCTGGAAAGGGTGCGGAGAAAAGGGTACTTATATCCACATGTGGTGGGAGTGCATTAACATCTCTCCACTGTGGACCAAGATCAACCAACCCGCCTCCAGGGCTCTGCAGAGAGATTTACCTCTGGATGTGGTTCTTGTCCAGACCGCATGTACATCTTCATATGCAATGAAATTTTAAATAAAGAATTTAGAAAGAAAAAGAAAATAAATTGTATGAATGCATACAATTAAAATGTTTGATTCATGGATATTAGTAAGTAATTTTACTTATGCAGCAGTGCAGCTTTAAATGGACACTATAGTCACCAAAGCAACTTTAGCTTAACAAAGCAGTTTTGATGTGTAGATCATGCCCCTGCAGACTCACTGCTCTATTCTCTGCAATTTAGGAGTTAAATCACTTTCTTTATACAGCCCTAGTCACACCTCCTTGCATGTGACTTACACAGCCTTCCTAAACACTTCCTGTAAAGAGTCATCTAATGTTTATACTTGATTTATTGCAAATTCAGTTTAATTTAGAATTATTTATCTCCTGAACTGTTAATAGCTTCCTAGGCCTTTAGGAGCCTCCAGCATGTAATTAAAGTCCAATTTACAGATCAGGAGATAAACTATTTGAAGTTAACATGTTATTTAAAATGAAACAATTTTTGCATGCAGGCTGTGTCAGTCACATGCAGGAAGGTGTGACTAGGGCAGCATAAACAGAAACAAAAGTGATTTAACTCCTAAATGACAGATAATTCAGCAGTGCAACTTCAGAGACATGATCTATACACAAAAAACTGCTTCATTAAGCTAAAGTTGTTTTGGTGACTATAGTGTCCCTTTAAGGAAACACAAACATTATTCTTATATATATATAGTTGTAAAGTTATACCAAACTATTGCATGTGGATTTGCCCAATGGAGTACCACCTTACAAATAATTTCTGTTCTGTACTGATTGACATTGAGCACTCTCTGACTGCTATAATGTATGATCAATTAATTTTGTAACCTTATAGTTATATCTACTGCACATGGACAGAATGAAACATTGCAGAAAAATAACTATAACCTCAAAAAGAAGTGAGGTTTTATGGGCTAAACTTGTATTGCATTCTTTGGCAATGCAATCTGAAATTAAAAACATGTATACATAATTTTGGTAGTTAAGGGATTGAATTTTATAGTACAAGATAATTTAATGTGAAATTTTAATGCATGAAATCTTTTGTTTAGAAAAAAGCTCAATATTTAAGTTTTGCAAAAAGATTGCCTAAAAAAGAAATTTAAAAATATATGTATATTTATTACTATGGTTCAGAGTCTCCTAAGCCAACTGTCAGCTCTAAGAGTGGTTTTGAACTGCAGCGATGTGTAAGAATTACTTTAACTCTAAGATGGCCCCTCCCCTCAGAGCTGTCAATAAGACAGATAGTAGGAGCATCCAGGTTGCCTGTCATTTTGTCCAAATACATTTTTTATTTTTCAATTCAGTTTTTTTTTGTTGCATTTTAAAAGCACCATGTTTAGAATGCATTAATATAGCTAATCGTTTTTATTCCAAAGTCTTCCTTTAAGGAAGCAAGGAATAAATAGAATATATTACTTTCCTGCTTGTATTTATTTTTTTAACAGAACAGTGTACAAAACAGGTTGCGTGCCTTACGTGCCTAATCACCACCCCCCCCCCCCCCTCAACACAGACTGAATTTAAAAGTTATTCGATTGTTTATTGGCCTGTTCTCGGATAAGAGATTTCTGAGTCGAAATTCAATCTTATATTGAGTCATTTTTACACTTCCCATCCTTGTCTGTTTTCAGTATTATTTTTATGGCACCAAAATGAACCCCCAAACGGCTTGAGAAATGTACTTATATTTCTCAAGTCATTTCTATAAATGAATCAGTTGACGCTCTCAGCCAATCAGTGGTGCCCCTGCCTAATGCAGCCCGAGGCTTCCTGTTTGAAAAAACTGAGAGAAGCGGAAGGACAGCACAGATCTAAACGATGCTGGAGAGAAGTCTTTGGGATTAAACCATTCATGAATGGTTTAACCCCTAGAGGTAAGCCGGCTCCAGGAACCTCCTGGCACCATAACAGCTTAATTCAGATAAAGTTGCTTTGGTGCCTGGAGGCTCCCTTCAGTTCCAGGAAAAATACCAAAAATGGACCGTTCAGGGGATATCTACACTGGTAAGTGTAACTCAATATAATACTGAATTTTCACACATTCCGATGAATTATTGTAGTGCCCGGAGTGTTCCTTCACTGCTCCGCCAGTCCAAATTAGCTCATGTGTTTTCAACTAGCCTGGTTAGAGGCCTCACAATGCAGGTAATGTAGTAATTTATCTGTATGGGTTCTACATCCAGTCTGTAGACTATCTGCATAAGGCTTTTATTTGCAAGAACTTTAAACTGACAAACTGGTATTCACTACATATCCATTGTGGGAGCCCTCCATTTTTAATTGTATAATTTATCCTATTTTCCCATTTTTTCTATATTACTTATTTGGAACCGATCATGCTACCTCTAATTCATGTTTTCTTTATTGTTAAGTCTTATCTATGTATATTTACTAGGGTGTTCGATAGAATAATCCCCGACATCCATCATGTCGATCTGTTTCATTTAAAATAATGAAAGGTTTAAAAAAAAAGTGTGTGTGTGTGTCTGTTTTATTTAATTGGCTTTACCATCTTTCTTAAATCCCCAAACTTTTCAACTTGCAAATGCCCTTATACCCTATAAAGGCCAATGACAGTCTATGACAGTCTATTCTGTCCTATTCCAAAATGGAATACCAATACATTTAAAGGGATCCTATAGTGCCAGGAAAACAAAGTTGTTTTCCTGGCACTATAGGTTTAATAGGCCCCCCCCCACCCCCTCCCGTGGTGCTGAAGGGGTTAAAACCCCTTTAGCCACTTACCTGTATCCAGCGCCGATGTCCTTCGGTGCTGGGTCAGGCTCCGCCCATGCTCTTCCCCCGGCGACGTCAGCATATTAGACCTCCACATAGGAAAGCATTATGCAATGCTTTTCTTTGGGGAAAATCTAACGCTGGAGGTCCTCATGCAGAGCGTGAGGACGTCCAGCGTCAGATAACGGACCAAAAGTCCATTTGAATTCCGGAAGTCCTTCTGCGGCTGTCTGGTAGACAGCCACACAGGGCAGACTTAGAGCTGCAATTTCAACATTGCTGTTCTCTGGAACTGCAATGTTTTACATTGCAGCACTAGGTGCAAAAGGGTCACAGCACCCAGACCACTTCAACGAACTGAAGTGGTCTGGGTGCCTACAGTGTCCCTTTAAAGGGCAACTCCAGACAATCATATAGTAGCTGCAATGTGTAGGTTAGGTTACAGTCAGTCATGTCTGGTGTTTTTTTGTGTTTTTTTTCTTTTTTATAGAAAATAATAATTAGTTTGCTTTGTTAGCTCAACATTTTAACATCTCCCTGAACATACATTTCTGATCCAAAAACACTTAGCTTTCTTGAGTAGAATGCTGTAAATTTAACTAAAACTCCTAGAATCCTCTACCGTGCCCATAAATCTATATTTATTTGATAAGCTCTGCAATGCTATAGATTTTTTTTTTATTTAATCTCTTTGCACATTGTTAACGTTGCATCTATATAATACATTAAAATGAATGGGTCAAATCCCGCCTGGGGCATCTTTTTAAATTGAGGATTGCTCTCCTGTTTTCTCAGATATAGTGGAAAAATTATTTAGTTACATTGATGATATTTACTGAGGCCAAAACACTAACTGATTCAACCCGCTGTAGTCACTGCATTTGTCACGGCCACATTATCTCTTTGACAGTGCACAGGGGGCTATTTACTAAGAAGTGAATTTCACAACTCTGCCATTTTGCCCCAAAATCTTGGAAGTCGGTTGTCAACTTCTCTAAAACCCAGTGTAGTGAATTTTCCCTCTTCTACTGAAACTGAATCCAAACAAATTAGTATAAGAATAGATTATCATGGTAAACTATAAGGGTGCTATAAGTACCATAACTACTACAGATCATTGTAGTGTCTATAGGGCAAAGAGTCTTCGTGTGCCATCCCCCATATTTTTTGCCAAATTCTTTTCCAATTGTTTATCAAAGAATGGGGGTCTCTCTACATTTACTGATAAAACAGTATCACTTATAATAAAATAAGATGAGAGGTGTCCAGGAGCTAAATTAGGATAATTTGAATAAAATAAACTATTTTAGTAATATGTGTCACCTTCATCTTATTTTATTATAAGTGATACTGTTTTACCTGTTACCTTAGAGAGGAGTGGTGATCTCCCCCCACCTCCAGTTTTAGAGCTATCTTTTTTATTTAACTAACTGTGGCTTCATCCACTAATTTCTACATATACTTTTACTCCCACTGTAGCACTGTTAACCCCTTAAGGACACAACTTCTGGAATAACATGGAATTATGACGGAATAGTTCCGTCATGTGTCCTTAAGGGGTTAATTACCTTTTTTATTTTTAATCCCACTATTTTTATCCCCTGTATACCCACTTTTTACGTGCTTTTAATACCTTGATCTGTTTTCTGTGCCTTTTACTTCTGATATCTCTACATTTACTGACTGCCACTGAGAATGTGGAATTAAAAGGACATTCCACTGCCCATAAGTAAAGATCATTGTTTAGTAGATATACCCAAAATGAAAACATGCATGCACATAATTATGCATTTTTCCATTGTGGGTATATCTAAAAACAGCTTGCAAAACCTGCAGATCTCTTCTCTGCAGCCCTTGCACGCCTTCACCTTCTAATCCCGCCCAGACTTTCTGTGTCTGTCCAATCACAAACTTCCCAGAAGTCTTTGCAAGGCAGATGTTCTGAGCAATTGCTGCCTCCTGGGTTTAGCTGAACTGAGCTAACTAAACCAGGAAGTAACAGGACCTGTTATCTGCTTGAAAGCCAAGGGGTGTAACCCGGTTAATTTATAAATGTATCAGTTTCTATTGAAATCTGCACTTATTTGCCATAGAAAAAAATAGGACACACTCTCTTTACACATAAAGATTTTCAGCGAGCTAAAGTACTTTAGGGGCCTGGGGTGACCCTTTAAATTTCAAATTTATTGTCTAACCACGCGTCCTATCATTGCCATATTCAGTTAAATTGATAATGCAGAATATACTTTACACATTATCTGAACAAGTTGAGGGACCATTATGTTGATAAGTGAGGGGCCGAGGAAGGTGCAAAGAGAGACTTATGTTTTTGACAAACACTCAAACTATATGGTAAAAATATGGGGGAATGGCAGACAAACACTTGTACTAAAACCACTGCAATGGTCTGTAGTGGTTATGAGACTTAAAAATGTCCCTTTAAAACAAGTCAAAGCAAATCTTACATTACTAGAAGAGGAATAAATCCATTTTGAAGGAACTCGTGCAAAATATAATTATAAAAGAGAGAAAAAAACTACAATCAATTCTGACAAGATTTTGCAGTAAACAATAGATTATAACGTGCAGTAGTGCAATTTCTTCTTTGATGCTCCAACATTGCAAATCTCAGTACAAAAGTCCACAGAATTTTACAGACACCTCTCTGTTAGTCTAACTAGACGTTTGTCTTGAGTTCCCGTTTTTATTGGTGGTTTGAGCAGCAGGGGCTTTGGTCTTTCTGGGACGACGGAGTTTTTGATCCCAACGCTGAAAAAGGATAAAAGTTCACATCAGTGCATGAATTCATGTGTTTAATCTGTTCAATAACTCTGGTATTATCAGCAAACACTCATAACATGTCTATAAGTGTAGTTATAATCCATATTTCTTGTTTCTAAAATGTGTTTTTTAAATGTACCTGATTTTTTTGTATATGCATTCTTAAAAGCAGAGAAATATGTTGTCTCTGTGCTAATAGCAAATAATATTAATAATATTACTGTAATAAATAGCAAACTGCTCAGTAACCCAAATATGGCCATATGGTGAAACTGAATCCCTATATTTGTCTCCAAAGAGAGGTGATTTAAGTAGCGTTGTAAAATGAAATTATATTTTTTATCTGTGTGTGCTGTTCCTGTGTTTTGTAAGTCTGCGGGTGTCTTGCACACCACTTGGTATACTATTTGTGAAGAAAAGAGATTAAAGTACAAGGACAAGGTTTCCTATGTCTTCCATGGTTAAATATTTAGCCCAGGGATAGGCAACCTTAGGCACTCCATATGTTGTGGACTACATCCCCCATAATGCTCTTACAGCCATAATGCTGGCAAAGCATTATGGGAGGTGTAGTCCAAAACATCTGGAGTGCCGAATAACTAGCCTATAACCAAACAGATGATAAATGGCTACATTTAAGGGATGTTCCCCAAAGGAGAACTGGTAAATGTATAAATATTACATTGTACTAGTGCTACATTTCTATCTCAAAGATATTCCAGTGATACTGTGAGGCGGGTAACCTCGACACTCCTTTTAGGCCTCAATTTAATAAGCTTTACAAATGATTCAATACTGTTAGAAAAACATTTCAAATTATTTCTTTGCAGAATTTACCAATAAAGTCAAAGGGAATTTTGGTAGAGAAATCGTTTGGAAAAAAAATTCTAACAGTATTGAATAATTTGGAAAGCTTATTGATTAGAGGCCACAGTGTTCTGAGTATTTATTTACTCCTTTGTTCAGAGAATAGAGGATAGAATTGTGTCCTTAAAGTTAAAGGTGGCTGATACTGTCGCCCCTTTAGCTGAGAAGCCTTTATAATGATTATATAATGATGTACTTTATAATCCTTCTTGGAGACTAGTGAGACATGGACAAAAAATATCACACGCAGAACATGTTTGAGAGAGTTGAATAAATGAGAATACAAGTTAATACAATCAGAATCCTTCAGACTGGGGCATAACTGGTTTTATAAGTATTGCATGTGGTATGCAGTGCATTCTACATTCATTGCCATATCCAACACAATTTTAAATACTGCCCTTAGGGTTGGTTAAAGTGATAATCTCACTGGCTTGATACTAATATAAAATATGTTGTGATCATACCTTAACTTTTTTAGCTAGACGATCCCTCCATTTTTCAGCAAGAGACCCTTCCACCAAGAGAAGCCTGCGTTAGAAATGAGAGAACAAATACACTTGATTAAAACAATATGAGTAATATTTGTGAATATCAGTTAACACCTAAATCAAACTGGATATTTAAAGAATGTAAATAAGAAGATACTGCGTAACAAAATGGGGCTTTTCTTTAACACTGAGAAACGTTCCAAAATTGGGAATACCCAAGAGACTTGTTCTTAGATTTTTAATGTTTTTCAGATTGACCCATATTGATGGCATTCATTTAGAGTTTGAAACTTGATAAGTTTTAGTTTGTGGTGGTATTTAATCGCAGCACTTTTTGCACATTACAACAAACAAATCTTAAAGGGACACTATAAGCAACAAAACAAATTTAGCCTAATGGAGTGTTCTTGGTGTATAGATCATGCCCCTGTAGTCTAATTGATTAATTATCTGCTATTTAGGAGTAAAATCACTTTGTTTATGCAGCCCTAGTCACACCTCCCTGCATGTGACCTGCACAGTCTCCCTACACACTTAATGTGAAGAGAGACCTGATGTTTAAACATCCTTTATTGCACAGTCTGTTAAATTATCATTTCTTACCTACTGCTCTGTGATTAGCTGGCTAGAGCCAGCAAGAGCCTCTTGTGTGTAAATAAAGTTCAGTTAACAGAACAGGAGATAAACACTTCTAAAGTAAACACACTGTGCTGTAAGACTGAAAATGAAACACGCGGAATGTGTGCCTAGAGCTGCATAAACAGAAACAAAAGTGATCAAACTTCTAAATGGCAGAGAATTGAGCAGTAAGACTGCATGATCTATGCACCAAAACTGCTTTAATAAAACTAAAGTTGTTTTGGTGTCTATAGAGTCCCTTTAAGAACGAAACTGGAAGCATTCCATCTTAATCACGCCAAGTGCCTTGCCATTAATCTATTTGTACTGTAGAACCTATGAGTAACAAGTTGATGTCTTGATAAATCTCTCCCATGATGTAATCTTATAGCTTGTAATGTTTCTGACATTGTCTCCATTTTCAGCTATTAATCTTTTACTAACTGATTCTACATACCTGGTTCAGCATGAGGACACTAGAATAATTGTACCAGTTTAAGTAAAGACTCACTCCCTCATAGAAAGATGCTTCTGTTTTGGCTGAACTCTAATTCACCTACTATTTCTTTATCCAACCTGGCTTTCAAATCCATATGAATGTGTACGTAAATCAAACAATGTCACGGGTAGCCTATTGGTGTCATATGATGATGTGGACTACACAGTCTGTGCTTCGTTTTCCGTCACATAAAATATTGGTAAATGTGAATTGTCATTTAATCTGTTAATTATAGCGAGTCATCATATTTATAGATGTACACCTATTTGACTTGGGTTTAATACTTTCCGATTTAAATGCAACGATGAGCAAACATCATGGTATTATAGCTGTTTAGGCTAAACATATCATTACTGTAAAAAACTAGATGAATGGATGTTAATGTAGACTCTTTCTTAATTTCTTCTTGTCTTCAGTTGATTGATATATATACGTCTTTTGTATATATATTCTTGGGCCAAATGCTCGCCACAATAATATATGTCTATATTATTGAAAAGTAGTAATACGCAATCTAACTTACGGTTTCTTCTGGTTTATTCTTTGTTACGGATACATAATAAAGCATAATAAATGATGTTACAGGATTATAGACATTCAACAGCAGATGGTAATTGCTGGACTTCTGATGGGAGAGTTACATCGTTGTACAGAGCCAAGCCAAGACAGGACTAAGACTGCGAGACCTCGTGTCCCTCTGTTACTATATAGAAGTGCTAATAGTAACGTCAGCATATAACTCTAGCCATATAAGGACAAAACCCCCGAATCCACATTCCAGAGCTCTCGGACAAAGAAAGCCTTGTGACTTATTGATACCATCTGTTACTTATGTCAATCCACACATCCATATATATAATCAATAGAAACATAGAATATGCAATATTCTACAATTACTAACCACGTGATTCACTAAAGGAAGAATCATTGACAATTCAATTTGAATTCTAGATTTCTTCCAAAATAGCGATCTGGGAAAAATCTCCAAGTTAGCCATTTTTCCAGTTTCACTACGTTGGCCTTAAATTTTAAATTCATTTTGATTTCCCAATAATTCTCATTTTAGTGAGTAACCCAGCATGTAGCAGGTTTTTGAGCGGGGTTATTTTTCCTAAATACACTCAATATAAGGTTTTGAGGATTTTAAAATCAGTGCTGTAAGAACTAAGAGATCTAATAGAATGATTAGTTCAAATGAGTGTATTGATAAAACTATTGGTACCGGATACCAGTAGTGATTGGTAGACGTGTGCACAGTGTCTATGTGGTGTTTCTGTTCGAATTTTGTTTTAGGAAAAATAATTCAGACTAACCAAAACGATGTGAAAATGCACCTATTAGTGTATTAAAAAATATATACATTATATCAATATTATTTATATATTTTGCACTACACCAATAAGCTCTTTTTCACGCCATTTAGTTCACAGATTAGGTCAGAAGTAACAAACAGAGAGAAAAATAGGAGCAGCAGTAAACAAATAAATCTGTATTTATATATTATATGTTTATTAAATACATAATACATAAATATTATTTATATAATGTGTCGCTCTATTAGTCACTTATCCCTTGACCTGTGAACCAAATGGCATGAGAAATAAACCTATCAGTGTACTGCAACATATATCATAATTTTTTCCCATTAATCAACTCTTTTTTTGGCGCCAGAGATAGAACTCTGAATCACAAAATAAATGAAACAGCTCACCCAGTCCCCATTTCATTTGTTTCATGATTCGGTTATATGGCGATTCAGAGTTACGGAATCCGGACGTCTCGCTGACCCCCAAACATTTACACAAGTCACAATTCATTGGAACTGAATGCACAAGTCTAATGATTGGTATGAACATCCCTGTTGAAAAGGATCTGTTTAACACACACAGTTGTTGCCTGGTAAACTTTTACTCAGTGAGTTAGTTAAAGGGTATATAATTTGTGTAGATTATGAATTTGCAATGCTGATATGGATTTAACAGTGATATATATATCTATCAACCTGACTTCACACTATAAAAGAAAAACTATAGGGTCAGGAACACAAACACGTATTCCTGACCCTATAGTGATAAAATCCCTATCTAGCCCTCCTACCCCCTAAATATAGTAAAATCTTAACTTTATTCCAGTCTGCTGGTACTGATTTCCTGCCTCCTTGGCTGACATCATCAGAAGTGGAACGCATTAGGTTGACTGAGATTGCCAATGAGATGAGGCAGGGGGCGGAATACAAAGCCACCCTGGCCAATCAGCATCTCCTCATAGAGATGCATTGAATCAATGCACCTCAAGAGGAGGGTTCAGTGTCTCTATGCAAAGGTTGGAGACACTGAATGGCAGTACTGCACAGTGTGCAGCACTGTCACAGGAAGCACCTCTAGTTGCCATTTGAGGAGTGGCCAATGGAGATATCCCTAGGCTGTAATGAAAACACTGCCTTTTTCCTGAAAATAAATTATTTACTGCAAAAAGCCTGCAGGGACTGACTATACTCACCAGAACAAATGCAATAAGCTGTAGTAGTTCTGGTGATTACAGTGTCCCTTTAACGTTACTTTATATCTATTAAAATGCTGTCTTACCTGGTACGCTCTTTGTCTTCATAGCCCATGATAATATATTCCTCGTTGACTACCAGCTGTGGGCACATGCAGCCAGAGTTGGCATACAATGTCACTGTATCTTTAGGGATATTCACTAATGACGATTTCAGAATCTCCTTCACTTCTACGGCAGCAGTGACATCATGGCATTTTACTTTGACCTCCTTAACTTTTGCTCGAATTACTTGACATAAAAACAGTATGAACATGAATTAGTCATAACAACATTATAAAGTCAAAAGGAATAATGGTACTATCATATCAGAGATATATAAATACAGGAATAAAATGTACAAATCAGCACATACAACTATATCAAAGTAATTACTTGGGAAAGCAACATTAAACTTTCAGCTAGCTTCCCAGAAAACCCTACTGTTTAGATGTCATTAGATTCATTTAATTGCATTTATTTCATCAACCTTGTACGGACAAAAGGATCGGATGACTTTTTGATGAATGGAAACTAAGGCTGTGAGACACTGCAGGTAGAGAACTATATATACGCAACAACAGTATAATAGTTCACTTGGGCTGTATGTTAGTATGATTTGAATACATTAACTGGGTAATTAAACTTCTTAAAAGCTTTGTACGTGGAATGTATTTAATGGCAATAAAAATGATGGTCTGTCCTAAAGTGCGCGGTGGGTGGGCTGCGTTAGATCACAAAGTTGTGACTCCTTGTTTGCTCGTTTGACCTGAAATAACATAATTAGCACTTTATTCATCTACTGCAGCTTTTCAGCGATGAAAGGCAAAAGGACAAATCCATACATATAATCCTGTTGAGAAAAAGAAAATCTTTTGTATGCTTTGATACTTACCATAATTGTAATTGTTCTTGATGTATGTCTTTTGAGACGCTTTCATGGGTTTACATTTACAATGCTCTGGAGAAAAGAGAACATCGGAAAAAGAGGTTATGGGGTACAAATGAACAATAACACTATTCTGCACTATAAGGCAGCAACCACAATAGTGGTCGTAAATTAATTATATCGATAGGCTTTTGGGGTTTTTTAAACCACCCCATTCCTGTCTGAAAAAGAAAAGACATTGAGTTGGCATAAGATATCCTTTATTAGTGCTCTTGTAGCAATGCCGTGTGAACCATAGAATATACATGACTGGTTTAAGATTTACATTTTGCTGCCTCTAGTCCTTGTTCCATAAATGGATCCTGTTCTAGATCACTGATCTAAGTGTTACGATGTATTCCAGGTTGAAAAGAAACAGCATCTATCAAGTTCAATCTTTCAAACATCAATGTTTCAAAGCAGTCTATCCCTTTGACGATATTTCCACTTGGGGGTGGAGGGGGGGTTAGATTCCTTCTCGAATGTGACAATCTGACTATAAAAATACTTTGCCATTTCTTTCGAAGAAATATCCAGTGCTTGAGTCTCAATAACATTTTATTATTCAGTTTCTGTTAATATTTTATACATTTATATCAAGTTATCACGTTACTTTTGTCTAATGTAAACATTAAATTATATCATTTTTCTTGCTGTTTTTCATAATTAGGATCCTCCATTCCCTTTATTATTGGCAGAGCTGGTGCTTCCATTTGACCACTTCGGTTGTGGCCTAGTGCTCTAATTCACAGGGGGTGCCTGCTGTGGGTTGCTAGCTGTACTGGCTACCCAGGCAGACCCAAAGATGGATGGCAACTTAAAGGATGGCAGCAAATAGTGTGTGTGTGTGGGAATGTCTGACTCCTTATGTGTTTATATGGCAATATCAAGTGCAGTGTGTGTGTGTGTGTGTGTGTGTGTGTGTGTGTGAATGTCTGACTCCTTATGTGTTTGTATGGGAATATCAAGTGCAGTGTGTGTGTGTGTGTGTGTGTGTGTGTGTGTGTGAATGTCTGACTCCTTATGTGTTTGTATGGGAATATCAAGTGCAGTGTGTGTGTGTGTGTGTGTGTGTGTGTGTGTGTGAATGTCTGACTCCTTATGTGTTTATATGGGAATATCAAGTGCAGTGTGTGTGTGTGTGTGTGTGTGAATGTCTGACTCCTTATGTTTTTATATTGGAATATCAAGTGCAGTGTCTGTATCATTGTGTAAATATGTGATGTGTGTTTCTGTGTTAGCTTGTCTCTTTATGTGTCTAGGGCAAAACGAGAGGGGAAAAACAAGTATGTAAACAGGGTTATTGAAGAGGTTTACCAGCTAAATTGAGGGAAGGTAGGAAGAGGGGGTAAGTTTCATGTAAAAGGGATAAATTAGGGGTTTTAGATTGGGAGAGGGGGTAAATTTCAGATAAATTAGGGGTTCTAGATTGGGAGAGGTGTTAATTGCAGGGCAATGTGAGGATCTAGTTTGGGGAGAGAAGAGTTTAATTGACATAGAAAATTAGAATGTATATTGAGTAGGGAGCATGGTTAATTTAGTAATGGACAGTAAGGGACAATCATCAGGTGTGAGGATGTAAATAAAAACAAGAACAGTGTGTATGCGGCATCTGCGATGTGATATTACCCGAGCCTCGGCATCAGAATGGAGCTTCATGGAGCTGCACAGTCAATGCGCATCATGGTCCCAGCAGCTCCCTACTGAACCCCAGAATTGTATGGGTGGGGCACTGTGATGTCACACCATGGGCATAGTTAGTTTTTTTGTTTGTTTTTTTACCTGGGGCGGCAAAATTCCTTAGAGAAGCCCTGAATATTGGTGTTGCACATGTTCCAAAAACCCATAAAGTTCTTCTTGTGGACAGGTACTCAAACCACACACATATTTATGGTTGAGTCTTACCTCTGCTTTATACAAAGGCAATAAACTTTACTTTTATTTTTTTCTTCAAACCAAACCACTATTTCTTATTTCTTGTCTTTCACTTTTAATATAAAGCATAATACTTTGAAATATGCAGAGAAATATTAAAATGCAACTAAATTGTTCATATTGAAAATATAAGAAGATGTGCAGTGCACTCCCCTTCTGCTGGTCAGCCGGATCCAGGACCCACCGGGCCGGTGCACCCTAAGGTAGTGCCGGCCCAAGCCCTGCACAGTGCCACCTGGAGCCATGGCCTTACTCAGGCCAATGGATAGGGCGGCCCTGACTTGTATAATTGCTTAGTTAAGTATTTAAAAGAACATTCCAATGATTATAACCACTACAGTGTGTTGTAGTGGTTATGGTGTCAGGTGTACCCTGGCTTACCACAAAGTAAGTAATTAAACAACTTTCTAATGATTAGATTTCTTACCTGGTGTTTACTGAGCGCCAGCCCCAGCCTTTCTTGTTCTGGTATGACAAACTGAAGCTTCTGCTAGGAGCTTCTGTTAGCTCTCTTAAAAGAACTCACTTAAAGGACCACTATAGTGCCATGAAAACATACTTGTTTTCCTGGCACTATAGTGCCCTGAGGGTGCCCCCATCCTCAGGGCCCCCCTCCCGCCCAGCACTGGGGAGAGGTAAGGGGTAAAAATTTACCTTTTTCCAGCGCTGGGCGGGGAGCTCTCCTCTTCCGATCCTCCTCCTCTCCTCCCATTCGGCTGAATGCGCACGCGCGGCAAGAGCTGCGCACGCATTCAGCCGGTCGCATAGGAAAGCATGTACAATGCTTTCCTATAGACTCCTGCGTGCTCTCACTGTGAATTTCACAGTGAGAAGCACGCAAGCGCCTCTAGCAGCTGTCAATGAGACAGCCGCTAGAGGCTTTGGAGGAAGGATTAACCCATTTATAAACATAGCAGTTTCCCTGAAACTGCTATGTTTATAAAAAAATGGGTTAATCCTAGCTGGACCTGGCACCCAGACCACTTCATTAAGCTGAAGTGGTCTGGGTGCCTAGAGTGGTCCTTTAAACTTAGCTCTCTTAAACTCTCTTAAACTAAGCAATTTGGACTTTTTATTGGACTCTTTATCTTTCATAGCATTTACTATATATGTTTTTTATTTGTAATAAATAAATTGTATATATCATTCCAAAAGTCTTTTGAAGCCTCTGAAAATCTTCATTAGGGTGGTGCCATCACCAGCAATTTGGCACCCTGCCTATTACCGTTAAAGCCAGACAGGGCCGCCATCAGAAATTTTGGGTCCCCTAACACAGCTCAAGGCCTGGGGCCTCTGGGGCCTTCCTCTAAGCCCGCCCCCCAGGGGCTGCCTCCAAATCCTGCTCACAGGAATAGATACACAGACACAAACACAGACACATGCACTGATACAAAAGGACACAGATACACACATACTGACACACACACACACATACATACTAACAGACACACATACTGAAACAGATACACACACACAAATACAGACACACAGACATACATAGTGACACACAGACACATACACACATGCATAAAGAGATACAGACACACACACACACACATACAGACAGACATACATGCACACTGACATAAATACAGACACATACATGAATACTGACATACATACAGACACATAATACATACATACAGACATACAGACAAACATTCATACATACAAACATACATACTGACACACACACACATACATACAGACAGACATATATACACATACTGACATACAGACATGCATACTGATATACAGACATACATACTGACTTACATACATACATATTGTCATACTGACATACACACAGACACATACATACAGACATACACACATATATACAGACACATTCATATATACACACTGACATACATATATACAGACATACACACATACTGACATACATACATACTGACATACAGATATGCATACTGTCATACTGACATACACACATGCATACATACAAACTGATTTACACACATGCATACAGACACCAGCATACATACTGACATACATACTGACATACAGACATACATACTGTCATAGGACACATACATACAGACACATACATACTGACATACATGCATACATACTGACATACATACAGACATACACACATTCATACATACTGACATACATACTGACATACAGACACATACATACATACTGACATACACACACATACATACAGATACATACATACTGACATACACACATACATACAGATACACACATACAGACACATACATACATACTGACATACATACTGACATACACACAGACATACAGACACATACATACATACATACTGACTGACATACACACACATACATACTGACATACACACATACATACAGATACATACATGCATACATACACATGCATACATACATACTGACATACATACAGATACACATCTCATTTTTCAGCCACCCTCCTGTTTCTTACCTTTTTGTTGCAGGAGGGTGGCTGGAGCTGATGGGAGATCTCCATTCTGCCTCCTCCTTCCCGTGCGGAGTGAGCTGGGAGGAAGTGACTGGCTGTCACTTCCTCCCAGCATTACTTGCGGTGCGGCTGGCATTTTTAAAGGGGCCTGGTCGCGCTATTACACAGCCACAACGCAGACTGGGTCCCTATCAGCGTGCGGGCCCTTGTCCGCCACTACACATGGTGCCCGGGCCCTACAGGGCCACTGGGCCCGCGACAACCGTCAGCGTTCAACCCCTGATGGCGGCCCTGAAGCCAAGAACTGAAGGCTCTTAATAAGGTGAGCTTAATACTTACCATTAGTTTTAAATTTCTAAGTACAATACAATTAGTTGCTTCTCTTCTTATATCCCCTTTGGAGGAGACTTTGCTGTGGAAGTGGTGTGTTGCTGCCCTTAGAGCTTACGGAGATAATATTTTATAGGTTCCGGAACATGTGAGTGGTTCCAGCTGCTTTCTACATAATTGATTGCTATTTTAGACTATCTGCATTATTTTGTTCCTTTTTCTTTTCTCATTTGATGTAATTTCAAGTTCCCTACAATACTGTATTTGAGAGGTAAGTTGAAGAAACACCTATAAAGGTTAGATTTGTAAAGTGCTCCACTAATAGGTATTTTATACCATATTTTGGCTTAACATACAGTTTACTTAAGGGGTGACAGTTGGGCAGTATTACGCAGACATTACGCAAATGTTGCACAGTCACAAAAATAAAATAACATTTTTCATTTTGCATTCATGTTATAACTACAATAACAAAAATAAAAAACAGTTCCTATAATGTTGTTTATTCAATATGCTATATCAGCTAAAACGAAGGATAAATATGTACAAAATCTGTTTACTTAGGGGTAAATAACTAGCGTATGTTCATGCTTTTTGGGGCACAAACAATGGACCGATCTACTTACATGCATTTAAACATTAGTCACTTTTTATAATTGTAATTAATGTTCACTTACACAGTTAGCAATATAGTTACACTTTAAACAAATCCACAAAACATCACTAAAAATTAGATAAAAAATCAACAAAGTTTATTTTCTGTTTGATTTTTTTTGTAACTTGCCAGGACTTCTTAAAATGTCCCATTTAAGCGCAGTTAGTTGCTCATTGAAATTCATTCAATGTTTACAGCATGTCTGTAGCATTGTCTCTATAGACAGTCTGCCAGAATTTCAACATGACTTTAACTCTTTTAGTGACAGACGCATCATCAACAGAGCAAACCGCTTTTCACTACAGGGAACCAAAAAAATGAAATATCTGGATTTTTAATCTAATAGACCTCGTCATAGAATTATCAGTTTAGAAATATATCTAAACAATTCTAAGAGTGACGTGGGGCACACAGATAAAAGGCCTAACTCTACTTGAAATTGTACCAAGGTCATCGTAAAGGGCCCCGGTTTGCACAAGCTTTGATAACATCAGGTCAGGGTTATTCAATAAAGTGACAATTTTAAGTGAATTCAAAATGGATTTCAAATTCAAGGTAAACATAGCCCAACTGGAAACATTGTCTATGCCAGCTATAATTCCATTTCGGCTACTTTGGCCTTAAGTTTTAAATATGCTTTGAATTAATACTTTAGTGAATAACCCTAAAATGTCTTTTTTAGTTTCTAGCACAAATCAGAAAGAATTATTTTTAGTGCAGAGAAAGTCAAATCATAGATTCCCAGTAGTATGATTTCCCAGCCTTAAAGAGGGACTGTCTCTTCTCCAGAGATTATATAATTGAAGAAAACAATAGAAATCTCCTATAACTGGTAATCATTTTTTTATTAAATGCTCCATTTTCTTTCCAAATCTATATAACCAATTTAGAAAATAACATCACAATTCAGTACGATCCAGGCACAGCCAAGGCACACAATGCAAATGAGGAAAGCAGAAACAACTGTTCAATCTATCCTCTTCCAAAATTAATGTCCAATGGCAGAAAAAATGGAGTGTCCAAGTTCCATTATAGATGCGAAGATTTCTTAATTTAATGTGATTATTTTAGTTCTCATGAAAACATATTTGCTAAATAAAGGGACTATAGGGACTAAACTAACATTTTATTATTAAGAATCCTGAAAAATGGCAGTTCCCCTTTAAAGAATGACTGTTAACCACTTTGTAAGGATTATGCTGTTTTAATCAGCTGAAGAACGGTGCTTTGAAGCTGCAGCTCATCCTGCCCAGTATGCCAGTGACTTTGGCAGCAATTGCCCTCACCCCACTCTAGCCAGCCCTTCCTGGACGTCTATACAACTGATTTCAAAAAATTGCTTCTGGATTTGTAGTGCTTGCACATTGGTGATCAAACATAAAATGTATATGTAACGGACTATTTTGCACACAAGAGCTTAAAAGCCGTTTAGGAGATATTCCCCTTCCAGATATACAGGCAGCTACCAAAGACACCAATCCGCCGAATATTCAACTTACATTTTCAGAGTCAGCATACTCCAAATACAAACATATATCAAAATCATCCAAATTGGTCCATTGGTGGCAAGCGGCGGGATCGTTCCTACAGCCAGAAGGACTTCGATCTATCTTTTGAACCAATGGACCAATTTGGATGATTTTGACATATGTTTGTATTTGGAGTATGCTGATTCTGTATGTGAATGTGATGCATACTTTTCAAGTTATGAATAATGTGGAAAAACTGTATTTCTCTGGCTGTGATAATTACATTACCCATTGTGTAAGGAAATTGTATCACAGGCAGAGGGGAGGATTTTGTGTGGGAGTGTCTGAGTGTATTGTACATGTTTATTGGTTGTTTTCCAAAACCCTGTGGGTGGTACTAATGTGTAAGAATGTGTACATAAGAACAATAAACCCACAGCTCTGTCTGTTCCTGCTTGACCTTCAAAACGGAGCCTTGTCTCGTTCTTGGGGGGATTTATTGTATGCTGTTCCAGTTTGACTGCTAGGAGTGTAAACCTATTTGTATAGGCTGTTTACGGCATTCATATGGTTTCCTGTTCGGCGGATTGGTGTCTTTGGTAGCTGCCTGTATATCTGGAAGGGGAATATCTCCTAAACGGCTTTTAACCTCTTGTGTGCAAAACGGTCTGTTACAGTATACAACATATACTTGAACAAAAACACGTTGTAACAACAAACAAGATACATTTCTGCCTTCAGCTACTTCTACGTAAATTTCTAAGCCAGTAAAGATGGCAGCCCCCAGCAATTCAAGTTGGCATTTGTGTGGACTGGTGTGAGAAGACATAAACCGTGTTATGAATATCATTACACCTCGTATAAGCTAGTATGAAACCTTGCTTTATGAGGACGGGAATAATTTCGGAGAATATTATTGCTGTTTCTCAGAAAACTGTATACTCGCACAGAATCAGGCGTTACACTACAAATCTTAAGGCTGACTGTTGGTTCAGATATATCTGGGCACGGTTCACACAAGTTTGCATGCCAAATGACCAAAAATGGGTACAATCATGTTTAACCTGCGAAAGTGCAGGAATGAATGAACAAAGACACCATTATAAAAGGAATTATTTTTTTTTTACTTTGGAATGAAACTGTTGCCCTGGTTTTCTGCTGGTCTGCATTTCAGACCACTTCCTTTCCCCATCAGGAAAATTGCTGGGCTAATGTTTAGTAAAACATAATTTGAATAATATCTCAAAGCTGCTCTGTTTTCACCTTGCAGCAACTTGAGCTGGCAATACGTCTTCTATTGTCTTAGTAATTCATTTGGCTTGATGAAGTCTAGAGCTGTCATCAGTAGCAAAGCTATACATCTGATTAGGGTTTGCTTAATATTAGACAGGTAATTTTACATTATTGAAGTGAACAGGTGAACATCCATTTTCCTGGATAATGTCCCCCACCCATTTAACAATTTTAAAAAAGTAGAATATAAGGAGCGAACTAACAGGATAGCTTTCAATAAAGCACTTTGCATCACTCCTACCCCTTAATACAACTTAATTCATACATTTTAACTTAAAGGAACACTAACATCAACTTAATAGCTTTAATATCTTAATCTAATTTTTATATTATTACATACCTATTTTTTTTTAGCTATTCATGTATATTTAAAGGGACACTATAGTCACCAAATAAACTTTAGCTTAATGAAGCAGTTTTGGTGTGTAGATCATGCTGCTGCAGTCTCAATGCTCAATTATCTGCCATTTAGGAGTTAAAGCACTTTGTTTATGCAGTCCTAGTCACGCCTCCCTGCATGTGACTTACACAGCCTTCCAACACTTCCTGCAAAGAGTCATCTAATGTTTACACTTCCTGTATTGAAAATACTGTCTAATTTAGAATGTATTATCTCCTGCTCTGTTAATAGCTTGCTTGATCCTGCAGGAGCCTCTTGTATGTAATTAAAGTTTAATTTACAGAGCAGGAAATAAAAACTTTTAAAGTACGTTACATCTGATTGAAAGAGAAACCATTATTTTTTGCAGGCTACGTGAGTCACAGTCAGTGGAGGTGTGGCGACACCTGCATAAACAGAAACAAAAGTGATTTAACATCTAAATAGTGGAGAATTGAGTGGTGAGACTTCAGGGGCATGATCTATACACGAAAACTGCTTCATTAAGCTTAAGTTGTTTTGATGACTATAGTGTCACTTTAAGATTTTGAAGAAAACTTCCCATTTCTGACAGCCATTGTTTACACACTGTTGGTCAGATTGTCAGTTCTCTAACCCAATTCTCACTATTTTCTAACTGCCCATTGTTTTTAGAATTGCATGTTAGAAAATGCGGCATGCAAAAAACAGAACTTTTTTTCTATGAAAAATGTTTTCAAGTTGTGCAAAAAAATTGCACATGGCACATACACCACTTAGACTAATCTCATTCCCTTCCCCTGAAAGAGATATGGGACACAGCCTTGTTCATGCATGTTCAAAGGCTCTCATGATCGCTGCACACAGCAGGTTCACAAAGCTATAAACCAGGCTATGTATTTCTCGATAACAACTGCAGCATGCCTGCAAGTTTAAAGAGCAGATCTATGGACAACTGCTGGGAATAAACAACCTATGCCATAACGAGAATATGATAAGACCACATACATTGGATTATTAAGCTCCTGAGTGGTGAAGACTCTTATTGGTGATGGAGGGATCTGTTCAAGCTGCTGTCAGCTTCTCTAAGCTTGCTGTTATAGAGCTCTTGGAATTTAAGTATTTTTGTCTTCTACTTAGTGTCTTCTAATGTAATCTCACTAAGATGATCTTCTAACCTAGACATGGACCCCTTGCTTACTATGCCTAGATGGTAAAAGTCACACTGCGCTAATGAGGCTCACCAATGCCGAAACAATCATCTGGGGTTGCTGTATTACTTTTTGGAGTTGGACTGGTTTTTCAGAGTTGGACTGGTTTTTCAGAGTTGGACTGACCTATAGGGTGGGATCAGTCTGATATGCAAACAGTTTAGGTTCTCTCTGTAATGGCACAAGTTGAGCTAAAACTAGCCTTAGAACTGACTCACCAAAGGGCAAGCTAATTGAGTTGTTGCCCATTTGTCTTCTGCTCTGTTTCGGTAAATATTTTTTATTTATTTTAATATTCTTAATATTTTTTTTTCATTTATTTTAATGTGTTAGCTACAAAATGCATTGAAAATAATATGGGCTATTTCTACTTCATTGAGTCTCAGTATATAATCAAGAAGTCAGGAGCAGGGCTGGCGCGCCATATAGGCTGATTAGGCGGCCGCCTAGGGCGCTACTTAAGAGGGGGTGCCGGCAGCAGCTTAACTGCTGGTTTGGGCAGCCCCTCTATGTGGGTCAAATTGTGTTTGGCGTCTCGCAGGTGATGGTACCGGGCTCTAGGGAGCACTTATATGGCTGCAGACTAGCGCCTGGTGCCATCATCCTTAGCCAACCAGGATCACAGAGCTGCCCCCCCCTCCTACATACCTCCAAAGCCGCAGTGCATGGGCACATCATACAATCACTCCGCCCCTTCCCCTACACTCGGGTTCAAGTGGTCGGGACTACAGCGGGGGAAGAACTTAAAGAAAATGAAGGCAGCCAGGCCTGGACTGGGACCCACGGAGAGAAAATATTAAATAAAGGCAAGTGGGGGACTTCATGGTGTGTGTGTGGCAGTGTCAGCCTGTTTCAGTCAGTGTGTGTATGCTTGGATCAGTGTGTATGTGTGTGTCTGTGTGCTTGGATCAGTGTGTATGTGTGTGTGTGTGTGTGTGCTTGGATAAGTGTGTATGTGTGCTTGGAGCAGTGTGTATGTGTGTGTGTGTGTGTGTGTGTGTGTGTGTGCTTGAATCAGTGTGTATGTGTGTGTCTGTGTGCTTGGGTCAGTGTGTGTGTTCTTGGATCAGTGTGTATATGTGTGTGTCAGTGTCAGCCTGTTTCAATCAGTGTGTGTATGCTTGTATCAGTGCGTGTGCTTGTATCAATGTGTGTGTCTGCTTGGATCTCTGTGTGTGTGTGTGTGTGTGCTTGGATCAGTGCTTATATGTGTGTGTGTGTGTGTGTGTGTGTGTGTGTGTGTGCTTGGATCAGAGTTTGTCTCTGCTTGGATCAGTGTGTGTGTATGCTTGAATCTGTGTTTATGTGTGTGGGTGTGCTTGGATCAGGGTGTGTGTGTCTGCTTGAATCAGTGTGTGTGTGCTTGGGTCAGTGTGTGTGTGGCTGCTTGGGACAGTGCATGTCTAGATTACTGTGTGTGTGTGCTTGGGTCTTTGTGTGTCTGCTTGGGTCAGTATGTGTGCGTGCTTGGGTCAGTGTGTGTGTCTGTGTGCTTGGATCAGTGCATGTATGCTTGGATCAGTGTGTATGTGTGTGTGTGCTTGGATCAGTGTGTATGTGTGTGTGTCAATGTCAGCCTGTTTCAATCAGTGTGTGTGTATGCTTGGATCAGTGTGTTTGTGTGCTTGGATCAGTGTGTGTGTGTGTGTGTGCACTCGTGTGTGTGTGTGCTTGGATCAGTGTGTTTATGCTTGGATCAGTGTTTATGTGTGTGTGCTTAGGTCAGTGTGTGTCTGCTTGGATCAGTGTGTGTGTCTGCTTGAGTCAGTGTGTGTGTGTGTTTGTGTGCTTGGGTCAGTGTGTGTGTGGCTGCTTGGGTCAGTGTGTGTGTCTAGATCAGTGTGTGTGTGTGTGTGTGCTTGGGTCTTTGTCAGCTTGGGTCAGTGTGTGTGTCTGCTTGGGTCAGTATGTGTGTGTGTGTATGTCTGTGCTTGGGTCAGTGTTTGTGTGTGTATCTGCTTCAGTCTGTTTGTGTGTTTGGATCAGTGTGGGTGTCTGATTGGGTAAAGTGTATGTGCCTGCTTGGATAAAGTGTGTGCGTCTGCTTGAGTAAAGTGTGTGTGTGTGTTTGTGTCTGCATGGGTCAGTGTGTGTGTGTCAATCTGCATCAGTCACTGTGTGTGTATGTTAGTCTGTCAGCTTGACAAAGACCTTTTAGGGTCGAAATGTTGCTGTTGTGGTTCCTAATAAAGTATCTGTCTCTTTTCCAGTGCCTAGACCTCTATTACTTTATTAATATTTGGAAATCTGGTGTTTGATTTCGGTTCAGCAAGCACCCTGGCTCAGATTTATGGGAATGAGTGCAGTTCCACACACACTACTAAAAATATATCAGACAGTGTCTGAAATGTTGCAAGATATAATCTTCAAAATAAAATTAATTATTTACCAATATTTTAATAATGTATGAAGTGATAACTTTATAATTTAAATAGTAAAACTTTTCACAATTTTATTTGCTCTGAATCCGTGAGCAGTAATCTATACCCAAATTGTTTTTATGTTATAAGTTTAGGTGCAGGTTACACATCCCAGGTTTAAAATATATGTTATTTTAATTTTGTTTAGACAAAAAGTGAACAGTTAGACAAATATTAACACACAATACGACTACAAATAATTAGCGATTCAAGCAAAAAAAAAAAGATATTAAAAATAATAAGAAGAGTTTATTACACTTCTTTGCCCAAATTAAAGGGACTTGAGTATTTATTTTTGGTTATGTGTTTTTAATAGCATGAATATATTATGCAATTAAAACATATACACTGTTCCAAGTGACAGCAAAGATAGCAAGGTCAAAATATTTGTCAGTAATTACGGAGATTACTTCCAAAATATTGATTTGCAAGTTGGTTTGCTACCTACCACCTCTGATGCAGTTGAGTGATTGAGAATAACTTGTGTTTGGGGCTACAGGTTCTGCAGTCAATTACATATTTGGGTAAATCAACAAGTCCTAGGTCTATGTCAGCAGCAGAGAGTTATACTTACTATCATAATTCATGGGGCAAGGAATTTGCAGTAAATGGGCACCTGTCCACCCTTGTTTGCCAGAACACGAGGATGAAAAACCTATGCTGAACTGTTGGGTTCTACAGAATATACCTCTAATAACAAAGTTTTTTTTATAAAAAAACAATATATCACTAAAGATTTCTTACAATGTAATTTTGAAAGGTAGGGAAGCTTTGCTCACAAGCTCAAAGTTAGAGGTTTCTAATATAGTGTGCTCTGACATTTGCTTAAAGAAAAAAAATTAAAAAAACATTAGCAATATTAATAAGACAAATGATCTTACCACTTGCTGCTCCACCACAATTTCCATTGTTTGAGTCCATTGGAAAGTCGGGCATTGATTCTGAAAATAGATACAGTTGTTTCATTGTATATTATATTTATCCCCTTGGTTGTATTGCTAAGGCCATTGTACAATCTTAGGTAAACACACACTGACTATAATGCTAATAACCCACAGGCTACCATAGGGATGAAAAAAGTTTTGGAGTATATAACATTGATGAGGAGAGGAAGCTACTGAAAAATACTGAGCAGCCTCTATGAAAGAAATGTTTAATTTTCAACTTGATCTTGCAGCACAGTGTGTTTGATTTAGAGGTTATTATAACCTGCTATGTTTATTAAAATGTATCCCCACACAGGAGCCTGCAGGTTCATGCAGGCAATTAATAGAGCGGGATATAAGACCTTCTACATCAAACACGCTCTGCAATGAGAGAATTTCAAAAATTGGACCACTTTTTCAGGAAGTGTGTAGAGGGAATATGTGAGTCTCAGCTAGGGGAGGTGTGACTAGTGCTGCATAAATAAAGTAATTTAACTCTTAAATGGAAGATAATTGTGCAGTAAGGCTGCAGGGGCATGATCTATAAACTATAACCACGCCAATAATCTGAAGTTGTTTTGGTGCTTAAAGTGCAGAAAAACGATCTCGCACATTTTATAAAAATGTCCTAAAAAATAAATGCAATTATTGAAACTATGTATTAATGAAAGTATTAGGTGAAACAGTGCCGTTACTGGTGTTTGTTGAAACAGTGCCCATTACTGGTGTTTGTTCAATAAAATGAATTTCAATAAGCTAAATCATCGAGCTGGAACAGTGGCTCATTTTGTATCTTATTTGTTTTGGCCTAAATCATGCAATTTGGTTGTCAATTCATTGTCTTGCTTTTCTGGGATATCAAAGAAAATAAATAAAATTGACAAAAACTAAATGTCTTAATAAGCATACAATGTTTTCTTGTGGCAGCTCAAAAAAAAGAAGCTCTGAAAATGCCAGCTTACACGTACCTGTGCATGCAACGCGTTGGCAGGCTTCTTAACAGAATGTGGGCTTGTACAGTGTGCATGTAGCTTCCTTTTTTAGCCTTGGCACACTGCCGCCCATAAAATGCCAACGCTGACATGCCTCATTTTAAGCCTAGAATGTTGTGTTAACCACACACAAGGGCTTGTTCAATGCCTTATAGCCAAGTGCCAGACCTGCTATATTGAAAATAATAACCCTATCATCACCTCCAGCCTTTCTCGGTTCAGTGTTTATCTCATGGTTATTAGCTGTTATATTCAGATAAACTTGTTAGTTCTACTCGCTAGCACGATTGTACAAGTTCCTATCAAGTTCATCTGAAAGACAGAATCAACGTTAAAGACAATGGTGACTCAGTTCTGCAAAGTTAGACAGAACTTGTGAAGCTAGTGAACTTAACATTTTATTACCACTACATTCTCACCATAGCTGATAACGTACACTCAATATCTAAATGAAAAACTTAAATCAATGTTGCCTAGTCTTGGAATTAGATACATGTTTGAGAACTTCACTTCCCTGTTAGATACATGTTTGAGAAATGTCACTTCACTCTTAATATTATTATTTACTTATCCAATATATTTAACAAATATGTGTTTGTGAACTCTGAAAAAAATAAATAATAATAATAATTGTTGATATCCAAACAATTGTATCTAGCTTTGTTCTAGAAATGTGTGTCTCCGACTTGGCTCCCTATTTGTCACTGGTATAAGCACCTTCATTTACTGCCATTGAATATAGTATCAGTAGGTGGGGACAGAAACAACGTTTCTCGTTTTCCCAAAAATACAATATATGGCCTGGCTTAACTGGATTGTGATGTCAATTTCTACATTTAAATATACATTTAAAAGAGAATAAAGCATGATATGAAAAAGGTCAGCACAAATTACATGTGATTTTCAGTCTTTTATTGTATGGTGTCGTTTCCAGAGACGGGGTGGTTTCCCTTTAATCCTTGTTAAGCATAGAAGGCTCGTTGGGTGTCATGTAGTTCCAATACTAACATTAAAGGGTAACTGTAACCACCACGACCACCTTCTGCTTATAGACATGGTCACAGACATGGACACATTGGTAGGAATCTGTATGTACAGTGTTTCTACTTGAAACTCCGCACAGACAGAAAATTATGCACTTTTGGGCCGGGGCCTAGTTCCAACCCATGTGACTTTGTTCAAGGCTGCCTAATGTTAATTCTGTGTCAAAATGACGTCTGTTGTCAGTGTGCACTGCCTGCTAGCAACAGATATTATCAGCTTGTACATATGCAGGAAGCACGTAAAACGGGGGATGTAGGGAAGCAGCGCTTAACAATTGAAGTCCTTGTGTTGAGTCCAATGGAGCCAATATAAGGGAGAAAACAAAATGGGACGGAATACTAATATAGTGTAGTATGTCTATAACAGCAGAGGCAGAATATAAGGAAAAAATATATTGCACTCACACTTTTCTGGAGCTCAAGATCAGCTCCAGATCACAGCGTATGGACGGTACAATCCCTGTCTGTGGATGTTAAGATGGTCCTGATTTCCTCTGGTATCGTATCCCTGTAAAGTGTTGAAGCCTTTTGAATAGGTGAAAGGCGTTAGTGTGTTACTTGATTTTTATTTGTTTAATAAAATTAATCTGCATTTGCACCCCTGGACCTTCACTGGACATCTTTTTATTTGAGAAGCTGTATCTCACATTCCCGGGTGGGGGACAAACCACCTATGCTGTAAAGGGCTGAGTAATCTCTATTTGCTCATCCATTGTGAGTATATTTCTCTATTTATTTTACTTGTTTTATTAATACAGAGAGCATTATTCTTCTTTTATATCCTATATATATATCACTGGAGCATCGTCTGGAATACACCACGTGGATTATTGGCACAGGGATACAATACCAGAGGAAATCAGGACCATCCTAACATCCACAGACAGGGATTGTACCATCCATACGCTGTGATCTGGAGCTAATCTTGAGCTCCAGAAAATTGTGAGTGCAATATATTTTTTCCTTATATTCTGCCTCTGTTGTTATAGACATACTACACTATGTTAGTATTCCTGTCCCATTTTGTTTTCTCCCTTATATGGCTCCATTGGACTCAACACAAGGATCTTAATTGTTAAGCGCTACTTCCCTACATCCCCCGTATTACTTGCATCAACGACCAGAAAGAAGAGACTCTGGTTTGGGAAAGCTTTAGCTGCTGTACACATAAGGAACAAGCGCCAGAAATCTCACTTGCTGCTATATATGCAGGAAGCACGCCTGCAAGGGGAAGACTGGATATCCCCTCCCTCATTTCAGCCATCCCATCCTCCCTATAGTCCTTAATGAGTGGTTTTTTTTCTAATACCCTCCCTCCGATGTCCACTCTCTCCCTCCCTAGCTCAGAGCACAAGCATGCACAGGGAGCAGGTGAGAACAGTCCCATTATATGCATCTCTGTGAGAAGCATTTGATTGGACCACAGAGAGGGAGGAGTGAAGTTAGATGGTACGTGGAGACCAGCGAAGGGAGCTTTGCCCAGTTTTTTCTTCTTTTACAAGGATTTTTTTTAAATTAAGAGGGGGGGCCTGTAAATAAAAAATATAGCTATAAATAAAAAATATATCGTTTAGCCACAAAGGGTTGGACTAACCCTTTAAATTTTATATAATCCTATAATTTATGCTACTAAGGAAACATCATAAAGAATTGATTGGAACAATGAAATATGGTAATTTTTTGGGGATTGTGGGGCAGAAGGAATGAGTGTGATGTAGGATTATCAGACCCACCATGAGATCTGGACATATACTGCTTGGACATGCTGATGGGCCATACATGAAAAGAGCTGTCCTTGAGTATACATAATTCATATGCTTCAAGTGAAAAACCAGTTGAATCGAAAAAATAAAAAAATCATAAATCAACTGCCGTGATTAGTTTTCATGCGTTGCTACCTAAAACCATAACAAAACATTTTAGAAATACATTAGTTCACTTAAGGTGAGTAAAGGTTTAACTAAACATGTGGCAAAAAATTTGACAAATTCACATGGACCACATGACATGGGGATCCTAAAGGGGCACTCATCAAAAAATTCAGACTGGCAGGAGTCCATCTATCCCTGAAAGAAGCAGTCTAAGGAGGGCTTTCATGGTACTCAATAATAACAATAAAGCAGTTTTAAGTACGAGTGGTTTGAGAGTGTAAATCACATTCATATTTTATTATATTAGAGAGCAATATTTGGAACATTCTACCCCAGACCTAAATGTAGCATTATTCACCATGATTGGAGAGAAATCTCAGTTATTCAGTGTGAGATATTAGCATTTCAAAGTACAGTAAATTTAAAGTTAATTTCGCATTTTAATTTACATTCCCATTGTATTCACTCTGAATTCACAACAATTGACACTTTGACAAATAGGTCTGACGACTGACTAGTGCAGATCAGCATTTCCTGTCCCGCCTGGAGTCACAGGTTGGCTTGATTTGTGAGTCAATATATTTAAATTTAGAATACACAGTAACTCTATTTCCTATCTTATTTGTAAACTGATTGAAAAATATAATTTCCTGCTAACTTAAAGCGACACTCGTGGATTTCCAATTATCTTAATTTAATAATATTTGTTTTCTACACAAAATGTTCTTTAAAAAAATAATAATAAACTGAATTCAACCCTGGTAGTGCCAGGTGGATGAAAACCACAACAAGTTGCTCATCACTTTAGCATGTAGTTTGTAGTGTGTAATGTCTATGGCATTGCAGGGACTAAGTCTAATGGCATCCACAGGTCCAGTGGTTTTACTGCCATCATTTTGTATAAATAGAAGCAGTGGTTTAGCCATGTAGTTGCTACCAGTGTCATTTATTAACCCTTACTCTAACACATTATTTTTACAGACTTCTGAAATATTAGTTCAATAAAGAAATAATTAACAAAACAATTGCATGAGTGATTTAACAAATGCATAATAAATTACAATTAAATAGTTAAGTCAAGTTTTAACAAGAAGGGGGTGTTAAAAATGGAGGATTCCCAAAGGGTTAAAATAGCTATGCTTATACATGTACTCACAAAGGCTTCTATCTGAGCCAAAGTGGGGAGCTTGTTCTGTAACTAGCAACATATTTGTCACAATGTAATGTCCTATTCAATATCCAGCCAAGTAAACGCTTTCACTGCATTCAAAGACAACACCGACTCATGCAAACAAAAGCCTCTTGGCTGACACTGTATATCAAGCTAAATAGCTCATCACAAATAATTATGCAAAAGAAACTCTGCCAAACTATACACAATGTAGAAAAAAAATGCTTTTTAAGTTTTAGATAAAAGCTTGGAAAAATAATAAAGAACAACATTGTAGCATTCACTTGTTGATCTTCTTGTCCAATTAATTATTTCTTAGGATAGAGCACAGAGGGAGAAGTGATATGTTGTTCATACAATGTAGCTAATATATTTACATACACAGTGCAATGCTACATTTAATTTTTCTAAAAAAGAATTTAAAAAAAATCATACATTGTAACTACAGCAGCAAAAGATGTACCTTTTTGACATCCCCAATTTATACAGTACAAGTCATATCTACAGGTCACACAATTGGCTAAAGCATGTAAATTCTGTAGAACACCTTGGGATGACTAGTCAACATCAATATTCCTGGACCCAGGTCACAGTTCCCACCAAACATGAGCACGAAAAGTTGACATATAAACATCCTCAGGTCAAAGCATACTAGTTAATAAATGACATTGTGAATATTCCCATGTACCTACCAGTTCCCTGATCAACGGTTATGATGGCTTCAGGGGAGATGCAAACTCCTCGGTCATAGACTGGTAGCTCCTCACAAGCCAAGCTGTCTGGCCAGGTGTGTCCATATTTGAACAAAATCGGCTCACAGCCAGTCCTGGCCCTCTCGCAAACCGATTTACAAGGCTTTATAGGCTCATGTTGAAAGTCGATGGTACAAATGGGTGCATACATTGCACAAAGGAAGAAAAGCAGGTCTTTGCTACAGTCAATGGCCAGCAAGCCTTCAAACTGCTCAATAGCTAGGACGGCATTGGCTTGGGTGCTGTGGTGGAGATGGTTGGGCATTTTTGTCATGTTCCAAGGCATTGACTGACACATGGGAATTCTCACTGGTTCGCAAGATGCCCCTTGTGCCCTGGGTAGGGCGATCAAGAACATCCCAAGAGCCACCACTAGAAGATGTGAATCGAACTTCTCAGAAGGATACATCTTCAGGGTGTTACTGGAGCAAACTGTGTCTACACCCTTCTAGACTCTCAGAAAAAAAGGAAAACTTTGAAACTGGACTTAAACTTCTCAAAACCAGAAAAACACAACTCACACAAAGCTGAATTTTACACTTGGCTTTGCGGTCATTCTTTGGTCTATTCTCAAGCTATCAACTCCACTTGGAACAGATATAGCTGGATTTTAAGCTACTGGTCCTGTATGGTGTTTAAAACCATTGGACCATTCTGTGTGAATCTTAAGAACACTTAATGAAATGTTCAATAAAAGAAAAAAAAAATTTAAGTTAAGTCCATGAGATTGCCCAGTCACCTCTACTAGAACTACTGCCAAAGGTTTCTTCTCCTGATCTTGCTTCTAGGGCAGATATTTGAAATAAATGACTCAGACAGTCCTTGTCCTCTTTTTACTTCTAAGTACTCAGACAGCACAGAGAGCCCCTCCTCTCATTCCTCTTCAGTCCACCCCTCTGTGTGTGATGGGGGTGGGAGGGGGATTGAATTTTCTCCTCTCCAGAATCTACATTCAGCAAACTTTCCAGATAACACTTAAACTTCCGAAAGGAAAAAAAAAACTGCAAATAAATCAAACACTGCTGTGTTTGGGAAATGGATCTTTCAGGGATAATCAGATGTATATGTTACTGTAAACTAAAAGGCATTAGGAAAGTCCTCTTCTGCTTACATATAACTGCTGGGATCTAAATATGCTGTGTATAAAGCAGACCAGCACGGTGAGACATGCAGTTAACTCTTACATAAATACACCTGTCTGTATAATGAAGCTTGCTTATTTTTTTTTTTTTTTTGAGATGTGTATATATATATATATTTAAATAATTAAAAAAAAATTTTTACTATTTATTTTAATTTTATTTATTTGTTTTATTGTGTGTGTGATCTGCTTTGAATATTTTTTATGGCACAATCTAGTTACATTAAACTAGAAATCTAGTTTTAAAGTGTAGCATAGAATCCTATCCCATTTACAGCCAAGAAACAGGTTGCCAATGTTCTACCTGTCTGTTTGTGTTTCAAAGATTAGAAAAAGTTATGTTCTAGATGTGAAATCAGTACAGAAATATACAAATACAATATGTGCAGTATAATAAAGGTGTTTACTAGACCTTGCTATCCTATCCTTAATTTCTGAATTCTAGAGGACAATTAGAGACAAGTCATTAAAGTGAATGTGACATGCTAACATATTGGGTCATTTAGCCCACCTTTTGTTCAGTTATTGAAATAAAGAATATTCTAAAGAAAAACACATTTTTTTAAAATATTATTACACATGCATGTACATTTATTTCATATAGGAAAAATAAATTATGAATAAGAAGACACCACACTTCGTTATATGCTGCAACAGATAGGATAAGCGAAGTACGTTATGTTACAGAATGCATATTAATTATATATATATATATATATATATATAGTTAGGTAAGGTTTGTATACTTGGCAATGTTCCTTCTGTTTGAACGTCATGGTTTAATTTTTGTATAATTATGTTCTACTTTGTTTAGACCATTGATTGGTTCTTAATACATTTGTGCAGTTTTTTGTCTGTAGTTCATGGAACCTTTTTAAACCAAGGCACATTTCAAGAGAGACATAACCAAGACACACTTACTGATACTGCATTCATCAGTGTTTTGTAACAGAGTTATTTATTCAAGTGTAAAATCAAAGTGAATTGAAAATTGCAAAGAACACTGTACTCACTATAACAACATAATCTAAATGAAGTGGTTATAGTGCCTATAGTATCCCCCCCCCCCTTCTTAGTAGCCCAAAATGACTCAATTTTAATAATTAGAAGGCTTGGAAATAGGGCTAGCATACCATGATGTCACCTGCGCATGCGCAGCACCGTCACGTTCAGTCACAGAGATTCATTGAGTTCAATGAAGCTCTGCAGCAGAATCATTGGCGCAATATGGCGAGTGCTGCGCATGCTCCTACGTTCCCCAATGCTCCCCTATGAGGAGCATTGAATTGGCCTGTCACCCTGGAGGCATGACAATACATAAGGAGCAGGCCGCAGCAGTTCAAATGTTGACTCGGCATTGGAGAGAAGGTGAGCAAATTATGTCTTTTTAATTTACTGTTGTTTATTTTCATTTTTTTAAATTTACAGAGGGGGGGCCTGAAACTAACTAGGGAAATTAAAACTATAGCATTAGGAATACATATATGTATTTTAAACACTACAGTGTCCATTTAAAGCCAAGGAATTCAGACTGAAAGTGTAGCTGACTTAGAGAATTTTTCCAGTTCAGCTTAAATTTGAAATTCACTTTGAATGCTAACTTTTGTCAATAACCCTGTTAGTGTATAATTTACCCGCAGTCTTTGTAAAAAGGTATCAAATATTTGTAGTGCTTACTTCTAGTTAAATGAAATCTGAAGTCAGTGGTTCATTTTCAACATGTTCTGTTCTCAAAGTGATCTAAAGTACAGAAAGTGGAACAATCACCATGGAAACCAGTGTATCTAGCAGGCATATATTATACATGATTTCTCCTCTTTAAAATTTTTGCACCACTTTTTAGAACAGCATACTTTGATAAATAGCACCACATGCGTTCTTTGCACACTTTGAAACAACTTTCGGCACACCAGTGTGCCACGGTTCCCTGGTTGTGAGCCACTGCTGTCGATATTTAAATGTGTATGTGTTTCAGGAGTATTATGGAATGTGGAATTTTGATAACCTCTGCTACATTTCACAACCCAATAAGTGCTTCAATAGCGATCTCAGAGGAAAGGAAATTAAGATGTAAAGATCTTCTACAACCTTTTTTATCTGTAAAACAAAATAGTACATATTAGCATAGCGACCTGCAGTGGGTATGGTGCTTGGAGCGTTCCTTTAATTGTATTCATATTCATTTTGTTTTCCACTAGTAAGAATATATTGACACGGTTCTCCACTTTTGTACATCTCTACATTTTCCTCGATTTGGCTATATAATCAGACAATATGGAGGCACTGAATAAAGGTTCAATTAGGTGAGCAGTAATGGGTGGTCATCATTTATCCAAATATCACCCTGTAGCATATATTGGTGCTTTATAAGTTCATTTAATTTAATACAAAGTGGGGTTATAAGACTTCAACTCATACGTGTGTATTTACAAGATTGGCCATCTTTCCAGTAGCATTGTATGTCATTGTTACAAACTCTACTGTTCGTTATAACTGCCGGGGATAAAGAGCTTCTGTACCACCCCCCAGAATTACACAATGCTAGAAAGATCTTATCTCACCACTGATTAATCTAATCTTCTAAAGGAAGAGTTTACTCTCAATTTAGACACTTCCATACCTTCCTGTTACAGCAAACAGAACCAAAGTCAATAGGTGTTAAAACAAAAAATCAACATAACAAAAATAGTGTACATTCTGTAATTTCATTGCAATAATAGATTATACGAAAACACATACATTGATGATAGGACAAGTTGGCCCAACTACTGCACACTTGTTGGTCTGCAATACTCAGCTAAATATAACACATGAGTAACTACAACTACCAGGTAGTTGCTATGACCAGTTCCTACTATCTTCACAGATTGAAGAGCAGTCAGCTACTCAGTTCCAGATGTATGATTCAGTGTGTTATTGCCAGCAAACCCATTGCTTTACATTCTCTCTAAAATGTATCTAATGATACTTAAATCTACCAGCTGGAAATTGAATTTGAGGACAAAATAGCAGCTATCCTAGTTGCTGCACCGATTAAAATGACCCTGCTTGCCCTACCAATATATCTATTTGACTTCATTCTTTTTCCTGTTAAAGTCTCAGGCATAAGCTTGATGTCATCTATAGTTTAGTTCAGAGCAGCATAGAACTCATACACCCTTAGTCTTCCTTTGTACAAGCACTGCAGGCCTTAGGATTCTTAGTCATCTCCAATATTTCATGGAGGCAATATTGGCAAGGGCTGTCTTGTGGCACGTACAATCGACCAACTACATTGGAGCCTGTTGCGAAAGGTTGTTTCCAAACACTGTGTTCGTTCTTAGCTCCGTAAAATCAAGCAGCCAACTATATCCAATACCATGTTTCAATAATTACCTAGTAACCTTCTGGGATGGGCTGTTTTCTTTATATAGCTTAATCATTAAGAGGTCTAGACTGGCTCCAATTTAGACTCCAATCACTTTACTCGACTTGTGGAGCCCAAATCCTTAGTCCAATTAGATGTTGTACCTTAGCCCTCCATATGTCACTGTTTACACTGGTTTTAGATTAGACACGATTTAGCCTTCTTTCACAGATGTATGCTATTGTAGGTGTGTTACAAGAGGTACCATCCATCACATGGTAGGAGTACTACTAAATTCACTCTTTCTGCAAGGTATTTTTATAAATCTTCTTTTCAATGTAATGGGTCATTGAAACAGCAGTGGAGTTATTGGACCTGAGCAGCCTTAGAGACACTATGCTCTCATCTAATACCTTTGGAATATATTTACAAGGATGAGGACCCTACTAAATTTTTTTAAGAAAATTAATATTATAATAAAATATTATAATAAAATATTATAATAAAATATTATTGTGTCTTCCAATTGATCATGTTTATATCAACATTACTTCCATCTTGGGCTAATGTGTACGCAGTACCTCTCATGTCTTAATGTATTTATTTACAAATACACATCATGATTTATTTACTTATTTATTTGTGAAAAAAATAAAACATCAGTGACCAATAAAATATATTCATATATAATATACTCATATATATAAATATAATAGTGTATACCTTTCTCATTGGTCATACATTTCCAGATTTGCAGACTTCTGCAATGGCACCATCTAGTGGACCATATGCATGCAAACACTGATTTAAGCAACAGCTTAAGCTTTCAGCCTCATTTGCTTAAAAAATATAGTAATTTTTTTTTTTTTTTATTGGGCATAATATTTGGATGTTATTAACTATTTTATCATTGCTAAACACTGCCTTATTTTCCACCTAGACCTTTACATCATCAGGGATTGCATTAGGATATTAGACTGTCACTATCCCTATATAAACTGATAAGGACATTTTACCTGTCTGCTGAAATATAGAGGGAAGAGCTGAGATGAACGTTGTATATATGTATATGTGTTTGCAAAGTGATGTGTGTATGTGAATGATGATGTTCTCTGAATGTGAATTGTTGAGTACTTGTGTACAGTACACAGTCAGCATAAAAGGTGTTTTTTAAGCAGTATTTTGGTATGTCATTCTAGAATTGTAGACTAAACAAAGGGACATCGCACTCCCATAATGACTAGGGTTCAACCGGAGGTAGGCCAAACCCCAAACGATAGTTTAAACACAGAAGACGGTCCAAGCACTCAAGATTCAAAGAACAAGCATAATTATTGCAGAGTATATAGCAACATTTTGACCCTAAAGGGTCTTTGTCATGCTTGTCATATATTTTATAACCTCTGTGCTACAAAAGGGGTAAAATTATTCTGAATTGGATCTATTTTGTTTGCCGTTAACCT